TTCTTGAATGATGTTTTCTTTTTTTCTTTCAGGGCAGATAATGGCATGATATTACATGTGAGGCTAAATTGCAACCTCTCATTTACAAGGAGTTTTTTTTTTTTTTAACCAGAACTTATATGGAGTTTACATGTCATTAGGTTACAAAATCATTAACTAAAAAAAAAGTATTTTTTTAATACATGGCCATAATAAGCTGTGCAATAAAACTAAAATCTAGTCATGTTTAGAATCAAGAGACTTTTACAAACATATAGAGAGACATTGAAGATTGTAATATCAAAATTATTGTGAGATATTTGGTGAGCTAAACAATTAACATATTTATTTATATCTCTATAAATATGATCGAACATGACCATCCAATTCTGCTGTGAGATCTCTGAAACAAAACTATTTTGAAAAAACTTTCTATCCAAACAAGATTTTTTCCCCAATAAAACACTCCAACTGATATTTGGGCCGCTCAATGATTTTTTATGTTTTTGGAACGAGTGCTGAAAACTTCATTTTATCCCAGAAAAGCCATACGAGGCGAACCAACTGCCAGCTAAAACGCACACATAATAATACTATTTAAACTATTATATTTTAAAATAGTAATATTTTAATAAGATATTATTACAACAAATATAGTATTTTTTTTAATTACTTACCATTCTTCTTACTAGCAGTGGTGGTCAAAATAATTTTTTGGTCTTAAACAACATTTATTTATTGGTATTAATTTATGATCTAGAGGGCTTAATCAATATTAATTTTGTATAGGATACTTATTTGTAATTTCATATATTCTTTTTTTTTTAAGATTTCAAGATTTTTTTATGTAATTTTTTATGTCAACTAATGATTAAAGTTAACTTTTTTTTAATAACATAGTGCCCAATATATTATTTTTAAATTTAAAATAGAAAAATTACATCACAAATAAGTTTAGAATGCCAAATATTTTCATAATTCTTATGAAAATCAAGCACTAAAAATTAAGCTATAATATTGAGTGTAAGTAGAGTTGTTAATTAAGACCAGCTTTAGCTATAGTTTAAACGGGCTGGCATTGTTAAACCCTATTATATTTCAAGTTTTCATTTTGGTTAGCTCGGCCTTGGCTTTTAAAGTTGAAGGACTGGCCCTCAGGGCCTTAACCCTATATTTTTTCATTTTTCAATTTAAAAACTTTAAAAAATATATTTAAAATTTTAAAAAAATTATTACACATAAGATTAAGTTTAAAAAAATAAATTTAAGTCAATATACACAACAACAAATTTAAATCTAATAAAAAATAATAACATTACAAAATCAACATCGATAATAATTAGATTTTGTTAGTATCATTAGCTAAATCTTGATGATTGTTATTATCATTAACATTTATATAATTTCATTCTTTCACTTGTAGAGTCTCATCAATGACAAAGAAGTTTTTCATATATTCATTCTTTATCCTCATAAAATGAGGCTGATGTTTTAAAATTAGTATAATGTTTAACTTTTTTAATATTAAAATTTTAAAAATATAAAAGAGTTTAAAACGACTGGCTTTTTTATTTTAGAACTTAAGAATTAAATTATTATTTTATATTTTAGAATAACTGTTCGGCTCTAGATTTTTTGGCTTTTTGGCCGGCCTGAATTGACGGTTCCAACTTAGTGTAAGGGTATCAATTCCAAGACCAACACACTAACACGAGTCCCTCAACCTTCAACTTAACCCTTATGCGCTCCATTTTTCTACAGTCTCTCCTATAACAAGAGACTCTTTTCATACATCACAGTCTAAGATAAAGTAATATATATATATATATATATATTTATATTTATATATAATTTTTAATTTATGTCCATTTGTTTTCTTTCCATTTTACGTACATGATGTAGGCTATCTTTTAAAAGTGTCCAAAATATAGACACCTACTTTATTTATTATTTTTTTGAAAAAAATAATACATTAGAATTTCATTTGTCATTGTTAAATCACTTATATAAAATATTTAATGAGGGTGTAATTAAAAAAATGTAAAATTTTTTAAGAAATTAAGATTTCATTTAATTTTTTTTAAAAAAACCATGAAGTAGTTACAAATATTTTGTATTATAGTGATCTGGAGCTAGTATTAATATGATTTTATTAAAAAAAAGATAATAAAATTGAAACGTACAGAGAGGGGCTCATTTTCATTGAGATGTATCAAAAAATTATTGCAGTTCAAAATTATAAGACACTATTTTTGAAGACAAATGTTAAAAAGAATAAAGTATTTTTTTAATAAGTAATTTTGTTCTTAATCAATAAATCAGCTAAGAACCCTTAGAATTAAGACATTGTATTACATAAGAATAACTACGAGAAATACTCAAATACATGTAATTTTAAAAGCTATTAACTAACTTATTAGAGTGTAAATTACTTATTCCAATCCTATTTATAATGTGTTTGACACATTTTTTTTAAAATTATTTTGTTGTTTTATTCATTAAAAGATATCTTAACTTTCTAATTAAGGCACTATTTTTGAAGAAAAATGTGTATTTTTTTAATGAGTAATTATGTCCTTAATAAATAAATCAACCATGAACTTTTCCAATTAAAATATTATATTAAATAAGAGTGACTACGAGAAAAACATGTCATTTTAAAAGCTATTAACTAGTATCTTGTTAGAATGTAAATTACTCATTCGGATCCTATTTATATTGTGTTTGACACATTTTTCACATTTTTTAAAGGGAGAATTATAATAAAATCCCACACAAAAAATTAATTACTGCATGATCTAATGTAGCTTTGTTCAGTTGTTAATCGACCGTATAGTAATTAATTCCCTTTGGTGGGACTTGATTGTAATTCTCCTTTTTAAAAAGATTATTATATTATTTTATTTATTAAAAGATATCTTAACTTTTTAATTATATTCTTATTAAATTTATAAAAGAAAAAATGATAATAAAATCCATCTAAAATATTTAAATGAGAATTTAATTTTTTAAAATATCATAATTTTTCTAAAGTTTTCAGGAACTTTTCTGTCGTTAATGAATAGGTTAAATATCAATTTGAATTTTGAACTATAGGTTTATGGACAATTTGAACCCTAAACTTTAAAAAGGTGCATCTTAAACCTTAAATAATTAAAGTTAGAGCAATTTGACCTCTACTATTAACTTTCAACAAACGTTTGTCAAACTCATTTAAAAAAATTGCACTTTAGACCCGAACTTGACAAAAGTTTGTTGAAAGTTAACAGTAGAAGTCAAATTACCCCAACTTTAATTATTTAGAATTTAGAATGCATATTTTTAAAAGTGTAGGGTTCAAATTATCCCAACTTTAATTATTTAAAATTTAGAATGCATATTTTTAAAAGTGTAGGGTTCAAATTGCCCCTGGACTTATAGTTCGGGGTCAAAATTACATATTAACCCTTTTGTATATTAAAAAATGCACTCTAATTAATAATAATTCAACAGTAACTAAAAAAAATATATTTTTCATATTATATCAATTTTTAAAAAGATTTTGAAAGAGTGTATAAGTTTCTTAGTTTGAATTGATCGATGAAAGTAAAATCTTATAAAACAAAGCCAAATGCATTTATGATAAATAAAGAGACAGAGAAAAAAGTATATAAAGAGGAATTTATTTTAGATTTTTCCTTAAAAATGATAATAATTTTTTTTACTGATATTATTATGAGATTCTATTATGCTAAGGAATAGATAGGGAAAAAAAATATGAAAGTGCGCTTATAACAAAAGATTATATTACGCTCTTATTATTGTCATTGATTGTCTATCAAACCCCCATCCAATAAGAACAAAAATAGTCAACATGACACCGTCTCATTCATACCCATGATCTCCACCAAAAATTTTTTTACTCATTATTACAATTTACAACCTTCTTTTATATAGTTTCATCATCATCATCATCATCATTTAACTTTTTTTAATTCCTTCCTTTCATATCTTGAAAAATTTGTAACATTATCAAGGGTTAATATATAATTTGAACCCTGATCTATAAATTTTGGGGTGATTTGAACCTTAAACTTTTAACAAGGTGTATTTTAAATCCTAAATAAATGTTTATCAAATTGGGGCCTAAAGTGTAATTTTTCCCAAATAAATTTGACGGACGTTATTTTAAAGGTAACAATAGGGGTTAAATTATTCCAACTTTAATTGTTTTGGATTAAAATACACCTTTTTAAAGTTTAAAATTTAAATTACCCCTGGACCTATAGTTCAGGGTCTAAATTGATATTTAACCTTTAATAAATTTATATAAATTATCAAATTGTCTTTGTTGAAAATAAATAATTCATAAGTTTTTTAAAAATATTCAAAATTTTTTTTCTTATATTCACAATAATACAACAATAAATAAGGAATTTAATTTGTGATATTTGCTGTTGCATTGTTATGAATATAAAAAGAAAAGTTGTGAATATTTAAATAAAACTTATGAATCATTTATTTTTAGCAAATGTAATTTGGTAATTTACATAAATTTATTAATAACAGAAAAGTTTCTAGAGACTTCTAAGGAACTATGATATTTCAAGGGATCAAATTGTCATTTATATATTTTAGAGAAATTTTATTGTCATTTTTTCTTTATAAAAATTATAAAAAATTTTAATATTAAATTGAACAGTGTGATAAACAGAATTATTAAAAATTTTCAAAATTTTTATTTTGATAAGTATAAAATTAAAATAAAAAACTTTAAAAATAGACCTTTTAAATTAAATTTAACCAGAATGCTGATGAACACCAACGCAAGGGAGATAGTGTGTGTGTAACTGCGTATGATGCTCTTCCACTCAAATCACAACTTTTTTTTTTGGATAAATACACCATTACAGTTTACACTTTACAAGATCACTTCCATAAGACAAGCAGACAACACTTTACTGTTTTTAAAAAAAAAAAGTTAAAAAGCATGCACTATCACCAACTTCATCTTAAAAGGCAAACTATACTTATTATTAAAAAAAAAAAAAAACTTATTACACAAGATACACTGTAACCTGAAGCAGAGTCTCCACTCCATCATTATGTTGCAGATCGCCGGTCACCGGAAATGTCTTCACTATGGCATACCCTTTAGCATTCAGATACTTCCCCGTCCCTCCCATCACGGCGAGATGAGACTCCGACACCTGAGTTCTGTGAACTCCGAACAAGCTTATGCTATTGCCATAACCATTCTCTTCAAACATGGCCGTGAAACCCAACACCTGACTGGTTCCGTCCACGGCACTTGCTATGTAAAACCCTTGAGCTTTACCCACCATACCTGATCCCATCTCGTGCCCTTCTGTTAACTCATCGTCAAACACAGTCATCGTCCCGAACATCAGCTTCTGCAGCGTCATTCCGGCGGGGACGTTGTTCACATTCGTAACCGAAAATCCAGCTCCGGCTCCGCCGTTGTTGTTGCCGAAGAAGTTTCGGTTGTTGTTGTTAATCACATTTCCGGTGTTGCCGCTTAGGCCGGTGAGGAATGGGATGTTGTTGTTATTGAGGAATCCGCCGTTCTCGTTGTTCTGAGGGAGGCCGGCGTTGAGAGGAATGTTTGCGCCGTTGGGCTTGGCGAAGGCGACTTGCGCATTCAGAGCCGGGTTCGTCACGACTCCGGTCACGGCCCGAGCTGTCGGGTTGGAGCCGCCGAGGATGTCATGCATGAAAAATGATAGTGGGTGGTGGATGTCACCGTTGGAAACCGGAGCCGGCTCCTCAGCCGCCGTCTCCGGGATTTCTAGCTCAGGTGATAAGGCTGGGGTTTCTACCTCCACAAGGGTTCGAGATAATGTGAAAGGGAAAACAAGTGATATGAAGAGAAGAAAGACTATGCTCTTGAGATGAATAAATGCAAGGCATGCCATGACTACAGTTGGATTTGAAGACGTAGAATGTAATGTGTATTGCTATGATTTGATGATGAGATGGTGAAGATAATTGACAAGGTGTATATATGGAGAGAGGTAGGGTACAGATGGAGCTGGTGTTATGATTTTTCAATTCCCAAGGTTGTTATTGCATTAGTTGAGCATAACCATTAGCTTCAATTTAAACAACAAAATTAAGTGGAGAAATGATGCAATATTGCAAACCATTTTGCCAAAATATATAAATGTATAAAGATGCATGATAATGCTTGCTAGAAAGCACAGAGAACTTTTTTTTTTAATTTTGTATTTGGATGCATGGAAATTTAGAATTAAATTTGAATTTGAACCAAATATTTATCGAAGTTTATGGATTTGTTGATCTAAATCTAAATAATCTGTATTTTATTATAATTTTTTTTATAATTTCAGATTTCTCATACATTCCATTTATTTGACATGTTAATTATTATATGTTATGAGACTAGTCTTTTAACCCATACGACACTCAAACATTTTTCATTGAAAAATGCTATGTAATAAGTTGTAAGCAGGAAGATGCTTTGGCAAAATTGAGGAATGAAATTCTTAAAAGCAAAGGATGAATGAGAGAGTGTGGGAATGTGAGAATTATATTGCTTTAAAAACTTTAGAAAATTTACAAATGAAGAGGGTGGAGGTATTTATAAAATGTTCCCATCTCCTTAATGGATGGTAGAGATTAATTTAATTTTATAATTATTGTTGTTTCTCTAGAATTTTCTATAAGATGTTTTACAACAAGTATCAAAATATTTACAAGGAGTTCTCTAGAATCTATTTTAAGATATTTATGTTGGAGTTAGTTAGATTTTTCTAGAATTATCTTGCATACTCTAACCTTCTCAAATTATTCAAGAAATTTATGAAGGATTGTAGAAGGTTATCAACAATCTTAACCTCTTGAAAAATAATGGAACGTGACACGTTGCTCCCTTATCTCTTTTCATTTTCCTTTCTCATTGTTTTTGAATTTAAAATTGTTTATACTTTTTAATTTTTTTAAATACATGAATTTTAAATTTAAACTCTAAATCCGTCAATACAAACACTTAGTAGGGTATAAAACTCTTCAATTCTATGAAATATGAGAAGGAGCATTTCGTCAAGATAGTTAACAACCATAACATGAAGGACGAAATTAATTTTACTCTTTCGAGTTTATGACTAATTGCGTTTTAATTTCATAAAATATTTGCATCAGTTACTTAAGTAATTATTTTCTTTTCTTTTTTCTTTTCTTTTTTCTTATGTTTAAGTATTTATACTTTTATCCAAAATAAATATTGAAATTGATTTTATAGAAGGTCCATTATATTATCTTTCCATTCCATTTTCCCAAATGTGATTTGAATATCTTTATTGCAATTGCTAGGGTTAATATATACATAAGAAGCATAGGATTAACTAGACTTAATTTGTTTGTCAATAACTAATTATCTTAGAGACAATGTCACTTCACTTCTCTTATTTAAAAGAGATCTTGAATTCAAACCCAACGCTAAGGGTGTGTTTGGTAAGATATTTGTGTGTGTATTTAACTATTAATAACTTCTAATAATTGATAATAGTTAGGGAGAACTTCAATTAAAGACCATGGATGGGTTAATTACTAATGGATCTAAAAAAAATTGAAATTTTAGTTCATTCTAAGGGGATTAAAATAGAAATAATTTCAATGATAAAAAGATCAAAGAACTCTTTATTTATTATGCAGAATCATTAGTTATTAATTTTTTCATTTCATTTGTTAATTTATTAATATAAATTATAAATTACATGAATTGATATGTTAATAATTATATAGGACCTAACATCCGTTGTTCAATCACAAACAGAAATATTAGTTATAAATTACTAACTTTACTTATTAATTTACTAATATCAGTTATTAATTACAGACATGTATTGTAAATTAACAAGTAAATTAGCAAGTAAATTAACAAGTAAAATTAGTAAATTAACAACTGATATTGCTGCTTGTTTAATAAATTGATATAATTTATAACTCATATTGGCAAATTAACAAGTAAAATAAAAAAATTAACAACTAATAATTAACATAACAAGTGTTGGCGCTTCGATCTTTTTACCAATGAAATTATTTTCATTTCAGTCCTTCTAGATTGAAGTGGAGTTTCAGATTTTTTTGAAACCCATTAGTCCCATTCATGATCTTTAATTAAAATTATCCCTAACAGTTATGAATAGATTTTTTACACCCATTTTACTACAACATCATATTAACATTTATAAAAATATGTACAAGATAAGGTGAATAATATAAATGCAAAAAGTCAAACACTAAATCAACAGTTATTTATGGTGAACGACGATGAATTTTTAAAATTACTCTAAAAAAATCAATGTCCTTCTCTTAAAAAACATAAATTATAATAACCAAATTGCCCTTGCTTTTATTGGTTAAATTATGATCTTTGAGTGGCAAAGTTTTGTACTGAGACTTGTAAATTCGCTTTCTCTAAGTACTAATCGTGTTCAACATGCGTGATCTGCTCAAAAGATGTGAATATAAAGTTGAAAAATTAACAGTAAAGTGCCAAAAGGATGAATCAATGGCAATTAAATCTCTAATAAAAATTTTTAAAAAATATAAATATCAATTCAAATAGTTATAAATAAAAAATTATATTATAATCTAAAAGTTATATTTAATATTTAAATATTTATTTGTAATTAAAATTCTTGAATTTGCAATTATCTGGATTGATGTTTTTAATTTATCTTTCAAAAAAAAAATTAAATACCTAACTATCATTAATTTAATATTTTAAAATCTAACTGTTATTCTCCCAGTAAAGTTAGCTCAAGTAAGTAGTGTTGACAAAAAATTAATCAAAATGGTTTCTTCTTCTTCTTCTCTCCTTTCTTTTTGTTAATAAAGCTTCTTGTTTAATATGAATAATGATGATGATGATACTAAATGGGAACTCATGTCTTTGCATTGCCCGTTAGTAGGGGTGTTTATGGGATAGGATGAGATTGGGACACTCGTATCCCGTGTCCCATCTTGAAAAAAAAGATCGAGACTAAATTTTGATCTCATGTCCCGTCCCGTTAGGAGTCAGGACGGGACCGAGATAAGATTGGGATATCCCACCGTCTTGATAAATTAAATAATATCAGAGAAAGATTTAAATAATAACATTCATTAAAATTTTAAATTATAAATTTATTAAGTTTAAAATCAAAACAACACAAGTATATAAATCACAACAATTTAAATTCAATTATTGAATTACATTAATCACAACTACATATTATAATAGCAAATACAAGTGATGTTTAGGCTATAAGAGTAGCAACAACAAGCAAGTCAAGCACAATATCAAATCATTATTCTTCTACTTTAGTGGAGATGTACTAAGCTAATTCTGAAGATAAAAAAAGAAATACATTATAAATAAAAGTTATTAAATAGATAGATATAAGAATAAATTATATTAATATAATTAATATATTATAAAAAAAGATATCACCATGTTCACTCCATGCCATTAAAATTATCAATATAAAAAAAACTTTAGTTTTAAATAAGAATTGCAAGTATTGAAATTATAATTGATATAATTAATATAAGTATAAATTATATTAATATAATTAATATATTTAAAATAAAAAATAATATATATAATATTTAGGAAGGGACGGGACGTCCCGATGATAATCCTGTGTCCCGTCCTGTTCTAAACTCTTTTCCTATCTCGTCCCGTAAAGTCTCATCTCGATTATTTTTGGGTCGGGACAAGACCCATTCCGATATAATTGGGACAATACCGGGTCAATTAGGATAGGTCCAAGCTGAACACCCCTACCCATTAGTCATCATCAAATAGATAGAAACGTGTGCACACACACACAGAATTTGAGAAATTTTATATCATGTTTAGAATTAAATTTGAATTAATTAGAACCAAATCACATAGGTTAATGTGAGTTCTAGGTCTACTTTAAGCAAATGGTTAAGGTTCAATTTTTTTTTATTGTAAATGGATACTTCTAATCTTTAAAAAAAATAATTACAATAAAAAAAAGCCAGCAAAAATCACTTCTAGTCAAAGGGTTAAGTACATAACTTTTACTTTAACAATAACATGTGCATTTTACTTATTTTTTTCCATCCTAATTTCCCTTGAAAATAACATATTTCTTCCATTCAAATTGGAACGTGTGTATTTTTAACCCTAACTACTATAACAAACTTTTTTAAACATTTTCAAATTTTAAAATAATATATAAATGCCACTTGTTGTAGTTTGATTGGAAAACATATAAATATATAAATTTTTTAAAAACACTTGTTTTAATTTGATTGGAAAAAGGTATAAAATTAAGTACATAAACTTCTACTCAAACTTGAAGGAACAACAATCTTTTGTAAAGATGAGTTGAAAATAAATATGCTGATAGAATAGTTCAGCCCCTTGCCAAATTTTTTTATCTTATATAGAAAATATCAAAAAAAAAAGGATAGAAATAATAAGATGACAGTTCATATGTGTGAAATTCAGGTGAGTAATTAAATTAAATTAAAAAATTGATTATAAATATTATTATTTATAAAAAAATCACAAATTCGATCAAGTTATAATAGTAAATGGGGTAGTTAAGATAATAAATAGGTAACTAAATTTTAAAACAAAATTTAAAATAACTAAAGAGAACAAAAAATTGTAGAAAAGAGATATAGAGCCTTGGTCTTATGATCCATGGTTATGAAATTTTCATCCAAAAATATTTGACCCAAGGTTATGATGACAAATGAAAACAGCAACGAGAGGAAACTGCCACATCATCTGTTGTTCATTTTGTGTTTAATGCTTAAACAAGTTGCTTGACTGTATTCAAATTTCGTGTTTGTCTTTTTTTTTTTTTTTGAATAATGCTGGAAACTCCATTCAAAACTGAATAAGTACAAATACAATCAAAGAAAAAACATCCACGGCAAAAACAACCTAAACAAAGAAAGCTAAAACAAAAAACAAGGAAGAAT